CGTTTGTTTATTGACATCGTTGCACGTCACTGTTTTTGGTCTATTTCGGAGTTAATCAGAACGTGGATGCCCATGGTTGCTGGTCATTTCTCGACTAACTGATCAAGCAACTGGACTAACAGCCAGTTTGAAATTAGGAAATTGTGTAGGATTCTAAAAGTGAGAAATCACCATTGTTAGTTCGTAAGGAGTGTCAATTTTTGAGTTAGCAAAAGCAGAGATGACGGACTTGGCTGACATTTGAAGTCCTGTTTTGTTTGGAAACGGAATCCTCGTAACTTGTGGATAGTCCTTCTTTATTTATCAGTTTCACTGCCAAAGTTCATGATCACTGGTAGAGAGCAATTGAGCACTGCTTTGGAACCTCATTAGTGCTTTTTTGATCAATGAATGATTTGGAATCTCTCTTTCCCTATGTACTTCTCTACTCAGTACTTTGTTTAGTATATCACCTCCGAACCTTTTTCATTAGGTGCTCCCACGGATAAAAGCTCTTGCTCTTCTCTCATGTCATGCTTCTGCGTCGGTAGCGGAGACATCGAGGTCTGCGCAATCAATGGCGATAGAAACAGTCACTCCTCCGCGTCGGCGCCATAGAGATGCGGTGTCGGTTCTGCGCGCACTGGCGAGCTGTGTAACACCTCACCTCGGTCTGCCTGCCTATGGCTGTGCTCTTGAACCCTGGCTCGGTGCTCCTGGCCTGCGTCAACGCTCGAACCGTTTGGCCTTTGCTGCGGGGCGCAACGCTGCCCGCCATGTGGCTCGTAGATATCTTGCCAATGATCTTACGGCCCTAGCTACGGAGGTGCATTACTATATTCCTTGTTGATGAACGCGACTGCTGGGTAGTTTTAATCACGGTGACCTTTTATTTTTAACTAAGGCATCTTTTTACCCCATCTCGTAGCATTTCCGTCAAATTTTAGTTGTTTTTATTGATGGATATACTGTATTCACGCCATGCATGCATTCTATGTGATACTGTTTCCACCTAAATGTACTGATTATCCCGTTAATAACGCACCACAATAGATTGTGGGTATATTTTACTCTTATTCCTAAAGGCGTATATCTTGCAAAATTTGCTGTAAAATTTGCACCTTTTTTATAGGCACCGCGAATAGACTGTCTCATGCCGCTGCAGACAGGTGAGTCGATTCGCAAAGAGCTTGCAGAGGGTGTCATCTCCCAACAAGAGGCGATGGAACGTCTCCTCCTCCTCCTTGCGCCCAAGGACACTTGGGAGCTCTATAAAAATGCTGGAAATACGGTGAGCCTCGCGGTTTCTTCGTAGCACCGCTTTCCCGTTTGACTGAATGTATATTTCAATGGGAAGATCCGCATTGCGGAAAAGGCGGATGAGTTGGTCAATGTAATCAAGGCGTTGATTGTCATTCCCCGACAATGTTCTTATTTTAACTCCATTCCACTTTAAATCAGAACTCAGGCAATTTCTTTATCCATTTAACTTTGCATCTTCAATTTGTATTTTTTGTTCAGCTTCTCAATTATTGGTTCGATTTTGTTCTCTTGCAGTCAGAATAACAGTTAGTTACTGTTGAATTTGAAAGATTAGTCATCTATGTTTTTTTGCGCTAATATCTAGGGGGACTCCTGTTTGGTTTGCGGTAATTTGGCAATTCTGCCTTCAGTACGCCACACAAGCATGAAGCGGTGCCTTAGGGTTGTGGCATAGAAATGGATCATATGGGCCCAAAGAATAGTGTTTCTTACCTTAATTCTGGATACAAATGCCATGCATTATCAAACAT